TGGAAAGGAGGAGGATGAGGAGGAGGATCATTGCCCAAACTGCAAGGTCTGCGAGCGGGCCGGGCCGCCTTCGAACAGTCCATGTGCTGAGGAGGGATTGCCAAGGAGGGACACCCGTCGCCTGGGGAAGCCTCAACTCGCAGCCTGTTGCTGTTGGTTGCCAACGAGGGCGCGCCCAAGCTGGCAACCCGCACTGGGATTGTGTAGGAGTGGCGCCCTGCACTGGGCAGTGCCAGAGCTGGGGATGGGGCCGAATCTGCCCCCGAGGGCGCACCACGACCCCTCCCTCGCACTCGGCGCCGATGTCGCTGCGGCACGGCACCGCTTCGAATGGCCGTCTTTCCCTCGTCAGAGCTGCGCCCAGGCGGCAGGGAGAGAGAGGAGGGAGGGAAGGGAGGGAGCAATCATGCTGAGGGGGGAGGCGCTGGAGGAGGACGCAGAAGAGAAAGAGTGGAGAGGATTTGCGCACAACTAGACCTGGACAATTTCTGAACATATCTGCCCCCCCGTGTTGATGTTCGGAAATTGCCCTGGGCAACCTCCGCTACACACAACTGGAAGGACAAGTAGAGCGAGAACTATTTTACCTCAACTACGCCCACGACCACAATCGCAAGCGCAATCACAACCACGGCACTACACGTGCAAGTACGACCACAATCATCGCTTGAACCACAACCACGACTGCACTTGCAGCTTGTAACTTCAGTTCAACTACATCAACTGCAACAGAGTCGACTGGATACGGGCTCCTGCTGCTGGCGTGGCGGCGAGTGATATTTCTACGAAGTCGCGTCGCCTGTCTGTGCGGAGTGTGGCGGAGTGCCTCCAGGGGGGGGGTGACTCGAGAAGGAGGAGGACGAGGCGAAGGTAGACGGAGGGGAGAGGAGGGGATGAGAAGGAGGAGGAAGAGGAGGAACAGGCGGAGGCTGGAGGATAAGGAGGGAGGCGCAGGATAAGGAGGAGATGGTTGATCGTGACGATTACGAAGGTGACGACAACGATGGCGATGACGATTTCGATGCCGATGACGATGTTGATGCTGATGCTGATGCTTTTGCTGATGTTGATGCCGATGCTGATGATCATGTTGATGCTGATGCTGATGCTGATGCTGATGATGGATATGATGACGATGACGTTTACCATGACGACGATGATGACGACGACGGCTGACGATGCTGATTATCAGGATGGTGATGATGATGGCGATTATAGTGGTGATGGTGGTTATGATGGTGGGAATGATGATAATGACGACGATCATGATAAGGATGATGATGTTGAGCAGGATGATGATGGTGATAATGATAATGATGTTGATGGTGATGATGATGATGATGATGGTGGTGGTGGTAGTTGTGACGAGGATGATGATGGTGGTGGTGATAATAATGAGGCTGCTTCTGTTCATGACGGTGATGATTATGGTGATGATGGTGGTGGTGTCGATGAGGATGGGTTGACGAAGTTTGTACGTTATGTTGATCATTGTGGTGTTTGTTGGGTTGTTGGGATTATGATGATGGTGGCGATGATGGTGGCGGTGAGGATGATGAGGAGGATGATATTGATGAGGATGAGTAGAGTTAGGCTGAGGATGATAATGCTGCTGATGATGATGATATGGTGGTGGTGATGATGATGATGATGATGATGATGATGATGATGATGATGATGATGATGATGATGATGATGATGCGGGGTCTCTTCGGAGCAGTTTTGGGGCCTCTTGGGAGCCAGTTGGGGGCCTCTTGGAGGCCTCTCGGGGTCTCTTGGGGGCTGCCTCTTGGGTGCCTCTTGGTGGCCTCTGGGGGCCTCCTGGGAGCTTCTCTGGGACGAGTGCTCGAAATGTCCGTTCGGGTTCCCCATCAGGGCCACTTCTTGGGGCCGTCTTTGGGCCCTCATGGGCCGTCGGGCGCCCTCTTGGGCCATCTGGGGGCCCTGTGTCGTCTGGGTGCCCTCTTGGGCCGCCTTGGGGCCCTTCTGGTTGCCTCTGGGGCCCCCTTAGGGCGATCTTGGGGACCTCGTGGGCCGCGAGAACGCTGATATTCATCAAAATCCAACAGGCAATCAATGATTTGGGCTTTGGGGGAGCCCTTGTAGGCGTTCTGGCGCGTCTTGAACGCTTCTTGGACCAGCTGGAGGCCAGCGTGGGCGTCTCGGGGCCCTCTTGGACCGTCTGTGGGGCCTCTTGGCGCCCTCTTGGTCCGTCCTGGGGCCCTCTTGGGCGCCAGGCAGTCATGCGAGAATATGCCCCAGAGCCCAGGAGAACCGCGCCAAGCCCCATTAGTTTCAGAATTTCGGGTCCGGGCCATTACGAAATTCCTCAGCGGTGCCGACTGAGGCTTGAGGGTTGATGCTACTGTTGGTGGTGGTGATGCTGGTGATGGTGGTGGTGATGATGATGCTGATGATGATGCTGATGATGGTGATCACGATGCTGATGGTGATGATGATGACGATGATGATGATGATGATGATGCTGATGATGAAACTGATGATGTTGATGAAGATGATGTTTATCATGCTGACGATGATGATGATGATGATGATGGTGATGATGATGATGATGGTGATCATGATGATGTGTATGCTGTTGCTGCCGACTATGCTGCTGATGATGACGATGATGACGTTGCTAATGTTGTTGATGATGGCGATGGTGACGTTGATGATTATGTTGATTGACGATGGCAATGCTGATGATGATGTTTACGATTATGATGATGTTGATGTTGGTGCGGATGACGATAGTGCTGATATTGATGATGATGATGATGATAAAGAAGACTACGATGATGATGGTCATGATCATGATGCTGACGATGATGATGTTGATGATGCTGATGATGCGGATGATGCTGCTGGTGACGATGATGAGGATGATGATTTTTGTGCTGGTAATGATGTTGATGATGTTGATGCTTAAGATGATGATACCGGCGATGACGATGATGATGATGATGTTGATGTTGATGATGATGATCAGGATGAGGACGAGCATGATGTTGTTGGGGATGAGGTTGAGGTTGAGGTTGAGGTTGAGGATTAACAGTTCAATGATGATGCTGATGATGATGATGCTGATTATGATGCGACTGACACTGATGATGATTCATGATGATGGTGATGATGATTACGGTGACGAGACTGATAGTGATACTGATGATGATAATGTTGTTGATGATGATGATGATGATGATGATCATGAGGACGGGGATGACGAGGATGATGATGATGACAATTACGATGATGATGATGATGATGCTGATGATGGTGATGGTAATGGTGATGGTGGTGGTGATGTTGATGATGGTTGTGGTGATTATGCTCGTGGTGGTGCTGATGGTGGAGTTGGTGCTGTTGATTAATATGGTGATAGTGGTGGTGACTGCGATAAGGGTATTGAGGGTGATGATCGTAATGGTGACAGTAATGATACTGCTGATGATGCTGCTGCTGATAATGATGGTGATGATGATGTTGGTGGTGATGACAATGGTGGTGATGCTTATGCTGAGATTGATGCTTATGCTGGTGATGATGGTAATGGTGATGACGATTGTGATGGTGGTTGTGGTGATGGTGATGGTGATGGTGGCGGTGATGCTGCTGCTGATGGTGATGACGATAAAGATGAGGCTGATGAATGTGCTGATGATGTTGATGACGATGATGATGTTGATGATGATGATGATGATGATGATGATGATGATGATGATGATGATGACGATACTGATGTTTATGATGATAATGGTGGTGATGATGAGCAGGAGAAGGAGGAAGAGGAAGAGAGGGAGAGGAAGATGAGAAGGAGGAATAGGAGGAGAAAGAGGAGGAGGAGGACGAGGAGTAGGACGAGGAGGAAGAGAGTGAAAGTGACAGAGGCGATGAGGGTTTGGAGCGAGGAGGCGGAGGAAGGCCCCTTGCCTGTTGAAATGAGTCTCTTTCCGACCATTTCCACGTGCATGTCCCGCCTTTTCCGCGCTCTTCCTCCTCCCACTCCTGCTCTTCCTCTCCATCCGTCCTCTCGTATTCTTGTTGTTGTTCTCTCCCTCTCTCTCTCTTTCCTTCATTTTTTTGTTCTCTCTCTCTCTCTCCTTCTCTCTCTTTCTTCCCCACTCTCCTCTTCTTTCGCTTTCCCTGCATCCCTATTTTAATTATTTCCTTCTCCTGCTCCGTCCTCCCTCCGCCCCCCTCCCTCCTCTTCTCCCTCCACCCAGGAGGCACAGCAGGCGTCAGGGGCAGGAAACCTACAGTAGCATCAACATCCTACCCTTCACCCAGAGCGGTTGTCCTTCTCTCCGTCCTCCACCCCTGCATCCCTCCCTGGAGGCCCACGGCATGCTGCAAACTCTCCGAGAGCCTCGAACTTCGATCCTCCCTCCCCGTTCGGGGATAGATCTTCTTTTTTGTCCGCCCTCGAAGTCCGGATCCCCGTTGGATCCTCGTTGTATCCTCGTTGCTGGATCCTCGTTGGTCCTGGACCTCGTTGGATCCTCGTTGGATCCTCGTCGGTGCGCTCGATCCTCGAGCCGCGAACCTCAGACCTCGAGCCTCGGTCCCCGATGCTCCGTGTTTCGCCCCGGATCCTCTGTCCTGGCACCCGAATCACGGTGCTCGGCCCTCGACTTCTCGCTGCTCGGCCCTCCTCCTCCTCCTCCTCCTCCTCCTCTCCTCCTCCTCCTCCTCCTCCTCCCTCCTCCTCCTCCTCCTCCTCCTCCTCCTCCTCCTCCTCCTCCTCCGCCTCCCCCTCCTCCTCCTCCTCCTCCTCCCCCCTCCTTCACCCCCCCCTCCTCCTCCTCCTCCTCCTCCTCCTCCTCCTCCTCCTCCTCCTCCTCCTCCCTCCCTCCTCCTCCTCCTCCTCCTCCCCCTCCTCCCTGGTCCTCGGTCGTCGCTGGCACCCTCCCCGTGCGCCGCGCGCCCTGCCGCCAGCTGCCCGCCAGGTGGGGGCGGAGGGCACGCGGGAGACCGAGCTGTACGAGAAGCTCACGTGGGTCGTCGTCGTCGTCGTCGTCGTCGTCGTCGTCGTCGCGGTCGTCGTCCTCGCTGCCGTCGCTGGCCTCGTCGCTGGGCCTCCCAGATGGAGTCGGAGGAGATGGGGCCGGAGGACGGCGCGGCATCGCCGCGACGAGGCGGCTCGATGCGGAGCCCGACGTGCTTCACGTCGACGTCGCCGATGCACCGCCCACATCGACGATGCACCGCCCACATCGACGATGCACCGCCGATGCATCGCCGATGCATCACAAACGCATCGTCGGTGCGGCGCGATCTTCCGACCCCATCTGCTCCGATCCCACCTTGGGGGCCTCTATCTTCCGCATCCCACTCGCCGCTGGCATTCTCTTCCATCCCTCTTCCTTAGGGATATGGCTTCCCCTCGACCTGCTGCCTGGCGGGACCGGCAGGTCGGCCGAGCCTGTCGCCCACCGCGGATGTCCCGGAAGCCCGACCCCTTCCACGCCTTCCGTAGCCTGCTCGGCCCAAATTGCCCACAGCAACGTAGTGCGGCTTCGAGCCCGATTCTTGCGCAGCGAGAATGGTCGCCGCCTGCCGCATGCTCCTCGCGGCCCTCCTGGCCGCGCCCGCGGCCGGCGCCGCGCAGGGCTCCGCGGCCGAGCTCGTCGCCAACCCGGTGCGCAAGGTGGTGACGCTGCTGCAGAAGATGCAGAAGTCAGTGGAGGCGGAGGGTGCGCGGGAGACCGAATTGTACGAGAAATTCATGTGTTATTGCAAAACGAACAAGGGCGGCCTGGAGAAGTCCATCGCCGACGCCGGCGCCAAGATCGAGCAGCTGACGGCGGACACCGAGGCCGCCGAGGCGGAGAAGGCGAAGACGGTCGAGAGCCTCGACCAGGCCAAGACGGACCGCGCCGACGCCAAGGCCGCCATGCAGGCCGCCACCGCGAATCGTGAGAAGGAGGCCGCCGCATTCGCGAAGTTTCAGGCAGACTCCGTCGCGAACATCGGTGCCATCGTCAAGGCTGTGGCAGCGCTCAAGAAAGGCATGTCGGGGGCCTTCCTTCAGACTGACGCGGCCAACACCCTGAAGGTGCTCCTGTCCGACGTCAAGGTGAACGTGCCCGACTACGACCGCCAGCAGGTGCTGTCCTTCCTGTCCGGCAACCCGTTCAGCCAGGGCTACGCGTCGCAGTCCGGCGAGATCACTGGAATCCTGAAGCAGATGGGTGACGAGATGGCCACTGCGCTGGCCGAGGCAACGCACGAGGAGGAGAAGGCCATCCACATCTACAATGCTCTCATGGGCGCCAAGACCGACGAGGTCAACGCCCTCACCAAGGCGATCGAGACAAAGCTCCAGAGGAGCGGCGAGCTGGCCGTATCCATCGCCGAGATGAAGAACGACAACGAGGATACCGCGGAGTCGAAGGTGCAGGACGAGAAGTTCCTCGCAGAGCTGGAGAAGGGGTGCGCTACGAAGACGGCGGAGTGGGAGGCGCGCTGCAAGGTGCGCGCGGATGAGCTGCTGGCACTGGCTGAAACCATCAAGATCCTCAACGATGATGATGCCCTGGAATTGTTCAAGAAGACACTTCCTGGGGCCAGCGCTAGCTTCGTCGAGATCCGCATGAGCGCCGCATCTGTGCGGTCCCGCGCCCGCGCGATCTTGCAGCAGGCGTCCGCCAGGGCCGGCTCGGGCAGCTCCATGGTGGCTTTTATCGAGTACGCGCTGAGCGGCAAGAAGATCGGCTTCGAGAAGGTCATCGCCATGATCCAGCTGCCTGCGGCAAGTCCCGCCACCGTGGCAGCCCAGCATTCTGGGTGGCGACGGTTCGGGGGGCACGGGAGGCCGTCACGTGTGATACTTCGTGTCCAAAGGCTTGGGATAGCCGAGATGAAGATGATGACGATGATGCTGACAACGCGGAGGAGGAGGAGGAGGAGGAGGAGGAGGAGGAGGAGGAGGAAGGCCGTCACATGTGACATCCTTCGTCTTCACTTCTTCAGGAGCTCTCATGGAGCTCATTCGGGCCGTCTTGGGGCTATCTTGGCGCCTCCTGTGGGGCAGTCCTGGGAGCCCCCTAGAGGATTCTTGCAGAAGCCCTACCATACAGCACTTGGCGTTCTACCACGCGTCATCGTGCCAGGGGGCATGCTGGCGGATCGACGAGATGGTTGCGACCCTGAAGAAGGAGCAGGAGGACGACGACAGCAAGAAGGAGTACTGCAGCACTGAACTGGACACTTCGGACGACAAGAAGAAGTCCCTCGAGAAGCACATCGCCGACACCGAGGCGAGCATCGCGTCGACCGAGGAGGGTATCGCCACTACCACTGAGGAGATCGCGGAGCTCACGGCCACAATCAAGGCGCTGGACGAGCAGGTGGCCGCCGCGACGGAGCAGAGGAAGGAGGAGAATGCCGACTACAAGCAGCTGATGTCCGACGACACCGCCGCCAAGGAGCTGCTGAAGATGGCCCTCAACCGCCTGAACAAGTTCTACAACCCCAAGATGTATGTTGCCCCAGCGAAGGTGGAGCGCACCACGATGAATGCGATCTCCGAGGACATGGCGTTCGTGCAGATCGCGGAGCACGACCAGAAGGCCGCCCCCCCGCCGCCGCCGGAGACCTTCGGCGTCTACGCCAAGAAGACGGGGGAGCACGGCGGGGTGGTCCAGATGGTTGGCCTGCTCATCGCTGACCTGGACAAGGAGATGACCGAGGCGGAGACGTCCGAGAAGGACTCGCAGGCCGACTACGAGGAGCTGATGAAGGACTCCGCCGACAAGCGGGCTTCGGACTCCAAGAGCCTCGCGGACAAGGAGTCTGCCAAGGCGGGCCTCCAGGGCGACCTGGAGAAGCTGAAGGACACGCTGAAGGAGGGCCAGACTGACCTGGCGAGCACGCTGAAGTACATCCATGACTTGCACATGGAGTGCGATTGGCTGCTCAAGTACTACGATGTGCGCAAGGAGATGCGTGCGAGCGAAGTGGACGCTCTTGGAAAGGCAAAGGCGGTCCTGAGCGGGGCGGACTATTCGCTGCTGCAGACGCGCTCCAGCCGCTTCCTCCGACGCTCCCAGTGAGCAGCCGCCTGGGCGCGCTATCGCAGACGCCAGCTGGAACCGCCTGGGCCGCCCCCAAAGCATGATCTTAATGTTCCATCGACTCATTAGACGGAGGGCAGGTGGTTTTCAAAACGGGTTCTCGCCTTGGCGCCGCGCACGTTCGTTTGAGAAGTGTTCAAGTTCTTCACGGATGCGCGGCGGATGGTTTCCATCGTGTGGCTCACGCTTCAGCGCCGTGCACATGCGTCTTACGTTGCTCCCAGCAGTCACACGCATTTGTCTTACAAGTTTTCAGTTTTCCACTTCTGGAGGGCGTTCCATTTTCACAATTGAGTTCTGGCTCAATATTTCGCCATCTGTCAGAACCAATCGGTTTCTAATTCGCAGCAGCTACACGGTTGGATGGCGGTTCATTGCACAAGCACGGGAAGTAGCTTGAATTCTCTCGTCGTATTATATATATAAATGTGATGTGATGCAGTATAGTGTAACCGACGCATAAATGCCAAAGGAGACCCTCACATGAAGTCATTCCTTGCCAAAGGGGACCCTCACATGACATTTCCTTGAAGTTAGTGATCATGCGTGTTGCCAGTTCTACCCGCCGTGTGCCTACGTAACAAGCGCGATGTTACGCCTGTGCGCGACTTTCAAGACGCGCCACGGCTCCATCCGTTTGGTTCAGGCTGGACCTGAACCTTCGGACACCTTCCGTAGCCACTTCGGATCAACCTTGCACCACCGCGGAGGTGCACAGGGACTACCCACAGCAACGTAGTGCAGCTTCGAGCCCGATTCTTGCTCAGTGAGAATGGTCGCCGCCTGCCGCATGCTCCTCGCGGCCCTCCTGGCCGCGCCCGCGGCCGGCGCCGCGCAGGGCTCCGCGGCCGAGCTCGTCGCCAACCCGGTGCGCAAGGTGGTGACGCTCCTGCAGAAGATGCAGAAGTCAGTGGAGGCGGAGGGTGCGCGGGAGACCGAATTGTACGAGAAATTCATGTGTTACTGCAAAACGAACAAGGGCGGCCTCGAGAAGTCCATCGCCGACGCCGGCGCCAAGATCGAGCAGCTGACGGCGGACACCGAGGCCGCCGAGGCGGAGAAGGCGAAGACGGTCGAGAGCCTCGACCAGGCCAAGACAGACCGCGCCGACGCCAAGGCCGCCATGCAGGCCGCCACCGCGAATCGTGAGAAGGAGGCCGCCGCATTCGCGAAGTTTCAGGCAGACTCCGTCGCGAACATCGGTGCCATCGTCAAGGCTGTGGCAGCGCTCAAGAAAGGCATGTCGGGGGCCTTCCTTCAGACTGACGCGGCCAACACCCTGAAGGTGCTCCTGTCCGACGTCAAGGTGAACGTGCCCGACTACGACCGCCAGCAGGTGCTGTCCTTCCTGTCCGGCAACCCGTTCAGCCAGGGCTACGCGTCGCAGTCCGGCGAGATCACTGGAATCCTAAAGCAGATGGGTGACGAGATGGCCACTGCGCTGGCCGAGGCAACGCACGAGGAGGAGAAGGCCATCCACATCTACAATGCTCTCATGGGCGCCAAGACCGACGAGGTCAACGCCCTCACCAAGGCGATCGAGACGAAGCTCCAGAGGAGCGGCGAGCTGGCCGTGTCCATCGCCGAGATGAAGAACGACAACGAGGACACCGCGGAGTCGAAGGCGCAGGACGAGAAGTTTCTCGCAGAGCTGGAGAAGGGGTGCGCTACGAAGACGGCGGAGTGGGAGGCGCGCTGCAAGGTGCGCGCGGATGAGCTGCTGGCACTGGCTGAAACCATCAAGATCCTCAACGATGATGATGCCCTGGAATTGTTCAAGAAGACACTTCCTGGGGCCAGCGCTAGCTTCGTCGAGATCCGCATGAGCACCTCATCTGTGCGGTCCCGCGCCCGCGCGATCTTGCAGCAGGCGTCCGCCAGGGCCGGCTCGGGCAGCTCCATGGTGGCCTTTATCGAGTACG